CATCTACTTACTAAAATGCAGTTTCCTCCCAGGCACCCAGTATTGAGTAAATGATGTGGTTGTCTTCGGTTTCCAGAAGCCAAACCAACCAGTGGAAAGTGCCCCAAACCAAACCAGGGGAAGGTTTTCCTGCCCTGCTGCCAGGAGCACCAGCCTGCTCCCAGGCTCTAACTGCAGCTCAAGGTTAGTTTGTGTAGTCTACAGTTAATTCTGCCCACTCAGGAGATTGCTTGGAAATAGAGATGCAAGGAAAAGACAATTGAACCCTTGATGAAAACATCAAGGCAAAACAGGGACTGAGTAAGCCAAAAGGAAAAAAAATAAAAGCATGAGGCTGATAAAACAGCACTTCAGATTTTAACTATTTTGTCTCATAAATTCCTTGTGTATTGTAGGCATTTTCCAAGCTATCTCACTTTATTCTGAGCCCTGTGGGATGGTACATGCTACTAAATTCCCATTTATAACTGGAACCCAAAAACCCCATTACACTCACCCCAGCGATAAACCCTGGTTTTGACAGTGCTGTATTTCACTTTGACGAGCAGTGTTACATGCAGCACAAGAAGATTGCAACTTTTATTTTTCCTGGCAGAACACCTTCAGAAGGGAACTCTGCACAGCACAGTGGGAAAGGTATGACTCTCCCTAAATAACCTTCTATTCCAGGAATGAATGTATTTTTAGGCAATGCAGCCACCCAATCTTAAAAAATGCAGCCTGATTTATGATGCTATCATCACCAACTTAAAGATCAGAAGCTGAACTACCTTAAAACACAGCTGTGATGCCCCAAAAATGGGGCACCTGAACATTCATTCCAGAGTTATCATGCCACTCTAAGCTGTGTTATCTTCTCACCTTTCAAGGCACAGACTGGCTGCTGCCTTTCGGTGATTAAGAAATTTTGTGTCCAGAGAAGGGAAGGGAGCTGAGGAATGGGCTGGAGCAGCAAGAGCAGCTGAGGGAGCTGGGAAAGGGCTCAGCCTGGAGAAAAGGAGGCTCAGGGGGGACCTTCTAACTCTGCACAACTCCCTGACAGGAGGGGGCACCTGGGGGAGGTCGGGCTCTGCTCCCAGGGAACAGGGACAGGAGGAGAGAGAACAGCCTCAAGCTGTGCCAGGGAAAGTTTAGGTTGAATCTTATGGAGAAGTCCTTGCCAAAAGGGTGGTTAGGCCCCGACAAAGGTTGCCCAGTGACATAATGGAGTCACCATCCCTGAAAGTGTTCAGAAAGTGTGTAGTTGTGGCACCTAGGGATATGGAGTGCTGGGGGAATCCTCTCCTCCTTCCCCTCTCAGTCTCCAGATTTTATTCCAACGTTAGCACCTCAATGACTCTTCCGAGTCTCCAGACTGCTGTGATGGGCAGAGTGCTCTCTAATACCTCTGTCTGGTTTCTGGACTGTCCAAAAATTCTGCTGCTTCCTGCTTTGTTACGGCTGCACACAACCTGTATGAGGAAATTGCAAACTCGCTCAGCAGCAACTGAAAATCGCCCAAACCTTTGGACACAGATGCCACCTTATAAAGCTCTGAGGAGCAACCAGACATGCATGCAGTTTTATAGCTCTGGCTCAGAAGGAGGAATAACAACTGAGAACAACAAACAGCCTCCACCTAACCCAGAGTTACCACACAAAGTACCTGACTATTCAGGAAGCAGCTCCTGAATTATCACAGGCACCCAGCACCTGAAAACAAAGTCAACAGCAATCACCAAGGTACTGCAGAATACTGTAAATGACACAGGAGTTATTTCATGAGCAACTCACTTCTCCTTGGAACAGGCCAAAGGGAAACAGAGAGTAAATCATCAAAGGGCAGACAGAGGATAAACAATCTTTGCTGCCATCCTTTGTGAACCAGTCCTTGAAGACAAACGAGCATTGCTATTATTACATTGGGAGATGCTTTCCCAACTAGAAGCAGCAGAATGTTTTTCCCTTAAGACTCAATTTTCATATGACTTTACTCTTTGGGTTTATCTGTCACCTGGGAGACAGAGGAGCAGTTTATACCCATTTCCCATCCCCTGGAAACACTAGAGAAGTTCAACTGCCACCAATAGGTCATTTCACCAACTGGTAGCAGTTTTCTTGATGATTTCTAAATGTTCACTCACATTTAACTAATATCTCGCTTTCCATTCTGCATTAGACACAAAAACCATTGTCAAAAATAATTCAGTGAATGTAATTAAGTTAATAATTGAAAATACAGGACTGATGTTCCTCCAGCAACATTCTGCAGGCACTGAGGTAGACAAAGTACAGCTGAAGCCACCCTACAGGTTCCAGACACGGTCTGTGGTGCAGGTCTGTGTGGCACCTGATGCTTCCAAAGAGGGCAGTGACACAGGCTGCAGGCTCAGAAACATCACTTGTAATTTAAAAGGTTATTTTCAACATATAGCTTTGTGGCTATAAATAGCCAAGCCAGCTTCTCACACAGCAAGTACACAATGGGTCTTACCCACAGTGGCCCAGATACCAGAGCAAGTGTAATTTTACCTTTGTGAACACACACAATATTTGGGGCCACCCTGCACTTCAAACAAACTAACCTGATTTGTAAGATTGGTCTTAGGCTTTGTGGGAGCAGCTGCCGGCTCTGACAAATTAAGTCAATTGACTTGGTTAACCCTTCCATTACCTAAAAAGACCTGATAGCTCATCCAGAGCAAGTCTCATGTATTAAATTCTTTAACCAAAGAAAAATATTTTACCTGATCTTTCTGTCAATAAAGACAGCTCTTTTCAATGTGTAGGATTTCCTTCTGCATTGAGTGGCCATTTGGTTGCACAGGTATTAAACAAGGGCAGACTGTCACTATCATCTGCCCTGTAATGTAACATTGTGCTTCTAGTACTAAGAGAAGTTATTTAAATATCCTCACATGTACTACATCATTCCAGCTCTGGGGATCCCCAACCTAAATGGCCTTGGCTGATGCTTACCATAGGCAGCATTATTCTCCAAGCAACATGAAAACAAATCTATTTTGGAGAGGTTCAGAGAAAGGAACTCATAACAACCTCCCCGACCATGCTAATAAACATTTTCATCTGATAGAGATTTACAGACTCAGGATACACATGCATAGCAAAACCTCTAACAAAACAGTGTTTGTTCCATTTGGATATGCAAGAACATCTTGTCACTCCTCAGCAAAACTGTTATTACATCCACGGGATGTTGGAACAAAGTTTTTATTCCAATCACAGTAAGGTCACCCTCCCTTTCTGTCAAGTTTATGAAGAAACACTTCACGTAAGCAGCTGGCTGGCACTGCCAGCATCTGCTCCACCGCTCACTCATCCAAGCTCTTCCAAGTATCAAGCCCTAGGTGTTACTGGTCAGTGTCACCTGATACTGCACTCCTAAGCACATATGATACAATTCTGTATCCTTTACGTATACAGAATTCAATTTGCAGCCTGCCTGTCAATACATGGCCTGCCATGGTCTCCAAGAGTGTGACCTTGCTGAGCTCACTGCCTGCCATCAGAGTCCAGCACACTTCACCAGACACCTCCCAGCACCCACAGCAGCAGGAGAGCCAGGCCCTTCTGAGGGGACCACAATCCATCCTGGCTGGAAACCCCTCATGAAGTCATCCCAACTCTACCATAGATCCACCTTAAATTCAACCTTCTTGGCTGTCAAAATGCTTTGAATAATCAGCTTTTCAGTGGCTGGTTTTTACCAGTGTCCACAGGACTACTTATGTAGCTGATAATAAATGTACACGTGCTGTACTGGAGGCTACTAACAACGGGCAATTTATTTGCTATTGCTACACCAAACTCCACAAATAACCAAGAAAAAGGCCTGTCCATTACAAAGGTCACTGCTTTGCCAGCTGAAGTCTTATTCAACCTGACAGTCTGTAAGCTTGCATGCTCTTTACTTCACTACTTATTTTTGGAAGGCTAAACCAAAATGAATACATCTCCCTGCCCCTTGCTCCCTGCCAGCCGGCAGCCAGCAAAGCCCCTGAACCACCTTGTACATGTCCCAAATGCTTCCGTAACTTCAGCCCAGCAAAGAAGAAATCCTGATTAACTCAAGAACTATTCTGATATTTGTGCTGTTAACACGTTGTTCTTTACAAACACATTAGTTCCAGATGTTATTCCTGAACTGTACTTTTTCCCCCACTCCTGTTGCTACACTACATGCTTAATCTACACTATCTTGAGCTAAGAAAAATTTTTTTGTAAAGCTGGCCTAGATCCAAATCAGATTCATTTCTCTGACCAGATGCACCAATCTGGGACACTGATTTCACACGCCCAGCTAAATCCTCAATCAGTCTTGGACAGCAACAGGTTTTCCAATATTCTGCGAAGGCAATTTTGCATGTTCCCCCACATTCCTACTCATTTATACAAGAGCAGCAAAAGCTACAGATGGAACACAGCACATATTTCTTGACAGTCAAGGCTTTACCGCTCTGCAGCCAATTCCTGCAACCACTTTGTACCATCTTCACATTTGGATGAGTATTAATAGAATCTGTGTTGCTTATCGGCCATGCGGTCACTCTCTGCTCCCTGCCAAGGAGCAGTTTGGAGAGTTTCAAAGCAACTCTGATAAAACACAACACAGGAATTAGCCAGACACCCCTGATCTTGCAAAATTCACACTCCTCCAGGAAATCTTCCCGGTACTTCAGGAGACCCCAATCACATCCCAAGTTTCCAAAAAAATTAATAAATTGGCTGCCTGGCCAGGCCCGCAGCCCTGCCAGCCCCCGCTTTATTTTGCTAATTATCCCACTTGATAACCCTGTGAAAAGTTGGTACATCCCACCGCCCGGCTGGAGCCACCTCGGTCTGTTCTGACACGGGCTGAACGCGCCGCACGGGGCTCGCACCAAGGCGCACTGAACCCTTTGTTTACCAACACCCCCGGCCGGGGCTGCCGGTACCGCCGTGCACCCCGGCCCGCCGCCGACCGAGGGCTCACAGCCGGGCCGCCCCCCCGGCCCCGGTACCTGGTGCAGGGCTGTCAGCCCGTCCACATTGGTGGTGTTGATGCGGGCGCCGCGGCCCAGCAGCCTCTTCACCTCCTCGGTGTCGCCGCTGGAGCAGGCGGCCAGGAACACGGCGCCCTCCTCGAAGCGGACGCGGGACCCCCCCGCGCCGCGGTGCCGGCCACGGCCGCCCCCCGCCGCCACCGGCTCCTGCTCGGTCAGGGAGCCCTTCCAGCGCCGCAGCTGCTCGGCCCGCCGCAGCCGCGCCGACTCGGCCCGCTTCCCGCCCAGGTGCTCCGGCTCGGACATCGCCGCGGCCGCTCTGAGGGCCGCGCGGGGCCGCGCCGCGCTCAACCCGGAGCGGCGCGGCTCCCGGCGGCCCCCGCGCGGCGCCGCACCTGGGCGCGACCGGGACTACAACTCCCGGCGGCCCCCGCGCGCGGGCGCGGTCGGGCGCCATTGCTGTGGCTGTCTCGGATCCCGCCCTCCCCGGAGCCACAGAACCTCGGCACCCTGGGGGTGGGAAGGACCTGCGGGATCCTCGGGTCCAGCCTGTGCCCGATCGCCACCTGGTCACCCAGCCCAGAGCACTGAGTGCCACGTCCAGTCGTCCCTTAGACGTCGTGCCTTCAGGGATGGAGACTCCGCCACTGCCCTGGCCAGCCCCTTCCAACGCCTGACCGCCCTTCGGGGAAGAAATTCTTACTAATATCCAACCGAAACTTCCCCCTGGCACAGCTTGGTGCCGTTCCCTCCTGTCCCGTCCCTGTTCCCCGGGAGCAGAGCCCGACTCCTCCAGGCTGCCCCCTCCTGTCAGGAGCTGTGCAGAGCCAGGAGGTCGCCCCTGAGCCTCCTCAGGCTGAGCCCCTTCCCAGCTCCCTCAGGCACTCCTGGTGCTCCAGCCCCTGCCACAGCTCCCTTCTCTTCTCTGGAGCCTCGGGATAAACGTCCCGCTGCCCTCGGGACGGACAGAGGGTGCGGAGCTCCCAGAGCGGTTCGGTCCAGCGGCTGCCAGTCACACAAGCGGCTGATTTTATTGAGGGAGTGCCGGAACCTGTAGATTTGCAAGCAAGAACTAAGCAATAATCATCAGTAGGTCTGTGAAAACTCTCTAACCCTGGAACAAGGAGCATTAAAAAAAAAAGTATGGAATTCTGAAACCTTCATGAAACCAAATTCATCCTCCTTGAAAAGCTCAGAAGGCAAGAAGGCTTCTCAGAACTTTGTGCAACTCTTCCGCCACACTAATACAGGATTTGTGCAAGGTTACAGACACTGGAGAAGAAATATTACAAAAAATTTTGATTTTTCTGGGCATTTAAAGATGTATTTAAAGAATCCCTGAGGAAAATAGCGGGGGACAAACATGCGTGACCGCATATATTTAGTATTTCAGTGTCTGGTTTCCCCTGGTTAACCCCGAGCCCGGGCGTCCCGGGAGGTCTGCGGGGCTCCCTCCGGCACAGCCGCCCGGCCGCTCCCCTCGGGCTGGACCTGCTGCAGCGCTCGGGGCTCAGCATGAGACCTTTGCCTTCCTTGCGCCTTCCCCGAGCCCCCTCTCGTGGCTGCGCGTCCGTGCCGTCCCGCTGAGCATCAGCAGCTCAAGTTCTCGGTGGAAGGGGCTGCCCCTCTCCGTCAGGTTGTTCTGCGGCACTCAGCTGCCGAACGGGGGATTTGCCTCAAATTGTTCACTGGAGGAATCTCAGGACGGCTACGCTGCTGAATGATCAGTGACAAGTCCGCCAGAGTAGATGGCATTTGCTCGTTAGCCTTAAGACAACTCCAGCAGTTTTCAGCAAGGTTCCAGGGGAACCCCCCAGGAGCTGTGGAGCCGAGTATCTGATGTCCCCAGCGTGCAAAATATCATGACCCACTCTAATGAACAGTTAGGAGCCACAGGGCTGTTCAATATTCGTAGAAATGCCAGATAACGGTTGACATGACAATATAAAATCACAAACATGGAGTTTGGAATTGCTAGAACAGAAATAGTTCAGATCAGAGCAGCGAGGACAAGGGCTTCAGGTGACAGACTTCCGTGTGGAACTCCGGTCAGTGGGCAGTAAGGAGAGTGGCTCTTGAGGTGGTGTCCGTTCCGCTATAAAAAGACGAGTCAGCAAGGATTCTTTTTGATAGATTCCTCAGACAAAAATAAAGTGCAAATGCAACAATACTATATCTGAGAACCGTTTATTGATAAAAAAGGGTAAGCGTTCTTACTAAAGGTAGATAGGAAAAAAAGAGCAGAGAGGGAAGACGAGAGAGAAGGAAAGAGAAGACAGGGAGAGCGTCACCATTAATTTTCTTAAGTAGTGTATTAAATATAGTTTTAGGTTATAACATAATGTTAAAATAGAAACTATGCTATGCAAGATATTTGTTTAAGAAAGGACTCGCACCAGATAGGAGCCACAGGACACCCAAATCTTTTGAGAAAGGGAATTTATTGTTCCCTTATCAGCAGAAAACTAACTTCTTCCCACCTCGCTCAGACTGGAAGACGGCATGAGGATTAAGAGAAAGAAGTTGACGGTGACCAGACAGAATCCTGTGTTTGAATGGAATTTATGCATGAGATGTATGAATATGCAACAGGCAATTGTTTTTAAGGGTTAATCCTCTGTTAACGGGTGTCCTTTTTCGAGCTTGTGTTGCCCAGAAAAAGGTACCCGGATGTCCATATCTCTTTGTTTTTATTGTCTCATATTGTCCTAATCTCAAATGTTCAAATTTTATTATTCTAGTTATATTACTATTTTTCATAACCATTTTATTACTATTAAACTTTTAAAATTTCAGAAACAACTGCTTGGCGTTTTTCACACAGGGAAACAGGAGCACGGGGAGGAACAGGCGAGGCGGAGAAGGGGCCGAGCGGACCCTACGGGAGCGACCCAAGGAAACGGCTGTCGGTGTGTCGCAGCTGCTGCTGCTGCTGCTGCCATGTGCTACACAGCCCAGGTTTGGTGCGCATTTGCCCTACGGGCCAGGCAGTGGAGCCCCACTCAGCCCGATCATGGAGGCTTTTTCTGCTCTGATTGCCTCCAGGTGAAGCCTTCCTGGGGACAGGGCTGTCAGCACATCCGCAACCCCTATGAGAATATATCAGATGCTGAGGCATAAATAAAAATCAGATTGGTCCCTCTCAGGTGGGTGTGAAAGCAACAGGACAAATTATTTACAGTAAGTCAATACCAAATAATTCTCCTTGGCTGAAAAAGGCTTTCAGCTGTGGGTTGTTGCAGGCTGGGATCTCTCTGCACACACTCCTGGGGAGCAGGAGATGGGTTGTAGGGTGGGTGATCACCTTCCCATGCTTCATATGATAGAATCATGGAATCCCAGAATGGTTTGATTTGGAAGGAATTTTAAAGCTTGTTTCATTCCACCCCCCGCCATGTGTAGGGACACCTTCCACTAGACCAGGCTGCTCCAAGCCCCATCCAGCCTGGCTGGATGAACACTTGAACACTTTCACAGATGGAGCAGTCACGGCTTCTCTGGGCAACCTGTGCTAGGGCCTCACCACCCTTACAGGGAGGAATTTATTCCCAATATTCAAACTAAAATCTTTCCTCTTACAGTTTAAAACTGTTCCCCCTTGTCTCATCACTCCAGGACCTTGTAAATAGTCTCTCTTAATCTTCCTTGTTGGTTCTGTTCAGGTGCTGGAAGGTTGCAATTAGGTCACCACAAAGCCTTTGCTATTCCTGTCTGAACAACACCAATTCTCTCAGCCTTTCCTTAATTCTGTAAGTCATCTCTGTGGCCTCCTCTGGGCTTGCTGCAACAGCTTTGTTAAAAACAAGAGCACGCTCCCGGTACTAAAGTGATTTCAGCATTTATTACAATAAAAAGAAAGGCCTAAGCAAGGGGGCCTGCAGGCTGGGCAGGAGCAATCCCATCGAGGATGCTCCGGTGCCGGTGCTGGGGCTGCTTCAGCAGCAACGTCCCCGATGTTCCAGGTGGAGCAGCACGGGTTTAGTGGGTCAGAATCCCCCTTTTTATCCTGCTTTTTGTCCCTCTGCATTGGTTTCTGCTTGGATCCTTCATTTGCATGAAGGTTTAAGGTTGATTGGCCCATGACAGTTCTGTCCAGGCTGGCTCATTTTGCTGGGGGTGGTGCACTTAGGTGGAATATGGTTTGTTGAGTACTGTATTTCTTACAACTACCCCTTTGTTGTGTTGTGTTTTTTCAGGTTTTTAGTTATGCTAAGTTGTATATTGTAAGTTGATTTGTTCCACTCACCCCTTTAGTTATGCAATAGTTCTACCCAGGTTGTCTCCTGTCCTGCAATCCATGTCAGTCTCTCTGTCTAACCCTGGCTGCCCCAGTTAGGAATGTATCTTTTGTTTTGTCTAACCCCTGTGCCCTGTCCGTCACTCAGGACACATCCTCTCCATCCAGATGCAAGTGGCTGCACCCCTTTAAACCCCTTTTACCATAACCAAACTAACAGTACATGCTTAACAACTATCAACTATTTTACAGTCATTTCTTACCTGTTTTTAACAGCTTCATGTTCTTCCTGTGCTAGGCCCCAGGGTGGGAAGCATCTCTGCAGGTGGGGTCTCACCTGAGTGGGTCAGAGGGGCAGAATTCCCCCCTGCCCTGCTGCCACGCTGGGGCATCAGCCCAGCAGACGGGGGGTTCTCGGTGCCTGCACATGTGGATGGGCCATGTCCACCTCTCACCCACCAGGCACCCATAAGTCACTCCCCTCAGGACTGCTCTTGATGCCTTCATCCCCCAGCCTGTCTCTTCCCAGCAGGATTGGTTCTTCCTGAGGATGAGCATGCTGGGTCTGTGCTGGAGCAGGCCTACAGCTGCTGAGCTTTTCCCCTCTTGCTTCCAGAATGGAATTCCTTGGGGCTGGAAGCCAGGCTGGTGTGAGCCGGAGCCCTGGCCCAAAGCCGTGGGCACGGCCACATTGGTGACTTTGGGTTCTGGGAGCCCCTTCCCTGCCTGAGCCTTAGGATCAGGAGAGAGCCCACCCTGGCTGCAGAGCCGAGAAGAGCAGGCTCCTGTGAAAACTTGCCTGGCTGGGCCTATCAGCCTTTTTAAACCAGGCCTTTACTTGTCCTGACAGGAACTTGACCCTGGCGTAGTTGTGGAGATTTCTGCCTCTTCCCAGGACTCCTGGACATCGGAGTGAGCTACCAAATGCCAAGAAGTCCTGCACAGCCACATCTCTGGAGAACTGGCTGTGACCCACACCAACAGCCATCCCCAAAGCCCTGCAGTCTGTGCCATTGTTTCTGGTTTTTGTGAAAGATACAGCACATTGGAGTCAAGCTGTCACGTCCATACGAAGACAAGATTATATAACTTCACAGACATTTGGGGCAGTTTCCCAGCCTGTAGGTCCAAGTTTGCTATAAACACAACTTGAAGCAAAAGGAATTGCCTTAAATGCCAAGCTGGGGCTGTCCCCAACAACTGATGTGAAGATTCCTAGAAATCTTTTGGAATCCTCTCCTGGCTTGGTGTGAGGAGACTAGAAATGAGACCAGGAGAGGTCCCCCTTTCCCCGTGGCATTCCATGACTGACTGAACTGTCCAAGAACTCCCAGGAAATCAGGCAAACATGCTCATTGGAGTTTCATAGAACACTTCCCAATAACATGTATCAATAATACATCTTCTACAAGTACAGAGTCTAATGTTAATTGCTGAATTTTACAGCTCAGCCTTAATCTATTAATCTTAACACCTATTTTTGAACAAGCTCAAACAATTTTATTGGGAACTTGAACAGAAAGCAAACTTCTCCTTCTTGAACAAACTCTACCAACTTGTCTATCTACAGAAAACAGCAAATCTTTTAACAATCAAAAGCTAAACCCGATACAAACTAAAACTATTTAACATCCAACAGTTCCTAGTCTGAAAACCCCAAAATGTGGGGTTTCCTTCCTTAGGCCAGATGCAGTCTTTTCTTTGGAACTGCTTCTTGTTGATCATCAGCAGACTCCACTGGTTGAGGTCTCTGCCAAATAGAGAAAAGAAAAAAAGGAAATTATCCTGCTGAAAGAATACTTAGAAAGGTGCAATTTTTGTACACCCAAATACCATCTCTTCTGTCCATGCCCCAGCCAGACCAGCCAGTGGGCAGGACAAGAGTTAAGGAGTGAGCCCAGTTCAGGGATGCCAAAGATGCAAGACCAGACTGTGCCCCCAGGTCAGCAGCAGACTCCAGGGCCAGCCCATCCTTTCTTCAGGCTCCCCCCCCAGCAGTCAGGGTGTCCCTGGGCAGGGCTTGAGTGACTTGAGCCCTCAATAAGCCCCCCTGCAAGCCCCAGGCTGTTGCTGCCCGTGGTGCCCCTGGTGTCATGGCTCTGCTGTCCCTGGCTAGGGCAGCAGCTGGGCTCAGTTCTCCTGCCTTGGGGGCCCTCAGCAGTGCCTGCAGGGCTGCCTTTTGTGAAGAGGAGTCCTTGAAGCTCATTGGTGCTGCCTGAGCTGCCCCCCCTTGGGCTGTGTTGAAGCTCATTTGCTCTTTCTGCTCTGAGGCTCTTGCACTTTTGCTCGAGAGGAATGGGACTCTGCAGAGAGACAGGCCAAATGACTCCAGCTTTGCTGCTGCTTCCAACTTAGCCAGGATCAGCAATGACTCGCAGAGTTTGGAGGGAGTGTGGCCCATTTGGGAAGGCAATCCAGCTCCATGGGCACTTGTGTCCTCCCTGTAAGACTAGCAGGCACTAGCTGAGGCCCAGGCAGGCTGAATCCTCCCAAGATTCTGCTCTGGGGAAGCTCAGGGCTTTCGGAGAGGAGCAAGGAATGCCCTGAGCAAGAACAGCTCTACTCCAGAGGTGGCTTTTCTTTCATCCTGGAAGTCTTGCTCCAGAAGAAAAGCCAAGGCCAGTGCCAGCCACCTGCTCCTGATGCCCTCTGGCAAAGAGAAAACCAAGGGGCAGCCCTGCCACAGGGCAGTCCCTGCCAGGCTCCGAGCACAGAGACTGGGGCCTACCTGTGCACACTCTGCATTTGCCGGTGCTTGTCTCTCTCATATTTTCTTTCCAATCCCTGGAATGCCTGCACGTAGGTGATGCATTCCAGTACAGGACAGAAGTTCTCAATGATGTGGGCAACCAGGGATTTACAGTCTTCCTGTGGAGGAACAAAACACGGTCTCAAGTCTCCAGTGGTCACAGGCCGAAGTTCAGAAAGCTTCCAAGTTTCCTTTGCAAAGGAACAGATTCCTTGGCCAGAGCTAAAACACTTTTGTCCGGAGCAATTGTGAAACAATTCAGATTGATCCCGAAGGCAAGAGCTGAAATCTGGAAAGAAGGATTCCTCTTCCCATGGCAAGGGACACCAGAGTCAGTGGTGTCCGAGGCTGTTTGTGACACTTGCATTGAAGCGGGAGGCTGCACTGGGCCTGTTGAGCTGAGAGGCCATGGCCGTGTCCGAGCTGGAGCTGCTGCTGAACTCACCAGTCTGAGGAGTTCAAAGAGCTCCAGCACAGCCCAGTGGAGCAGGTTGGATGTAGCTCCATCGTCCAGCAGAGCCTGCAAAAAAGGGGTGCCAAGAGGTTTCCCTGAGTGATGGAATGGGTATAAAGCTCATCCTTCAGGGCAATGATCTTCCTCAGGAAGTGCAGAACACCTTTGTGAAGAGAGAAATGCAAGGATTCCAGAGCCACAGGCCAGGGCTGCAGTCCAGAAATTCATTCCTATCCCTTCCCATGAATCTTGAGTTCAAGTGTCTCCTGGAACACCTTCCACCCAGGACATGCTAAGCTTGGAAGAACAAAATGCCAAAGATTACTCACTCAAGGCCAGAAATGTGTGTTGGGAATTGATCAAGAGCACGACTCTTAGCAAATCCCAGTGGAGGATGTAACCCCTCATGTGCTCCTTGTGCTGTGTCACACAAAAACTCAACAGCTCCAAAATTAAAACCAGGAGTTGTGCTGTTTGATAATCATCTATAGGAAAAGTAATGCCTTCAATGAGCAACAAAGGAAAAAAAAAAGAAAGAAATGTCCTGTGCCATCCACCCAGCTCAAGTGCTCCTGCGCTTGCTGACATGGTTTTAGTGGACTTTGGCTTTCCTGGGTTGCTTTAGGAGGCAGAACTTTGGGGGAGAACAAAAGAACCCACAGAGAGGTGACTTTTTTGGCCCTTGAAGCAAATCTTAGAAAAGATACATGTCCAACTCCTCCACCATGAACAACCCTCCTCCAGGAGGTCCATCTGCCACAAAGCACAGCCTGAAGGCATTTCAGGGAGGGGCAAGTAAGGGCTGAAAAGTGCTGCCTAAAGAAGCTCTGTCCTCGGGGAGCAGCCATTTTTCTCAGGTGCGCTCCCAGCCGGCCTGACCAGCTGATTGCTGGGAGCACCCCTGTCAGTCCCTTCCAGACACTACAAGCCTCCAAGGGGGAAAACAAGGAAAAAAATCCTCATTTGCTATTTCCCAGGTACCTGTTGCTGCACTGGCCAGAAGCGGTGCAGTCAGAACGGGAGGACAGTGGGCATAGAAGGAATTGAAAAATCCAAGTATTTTGGATACCTAAAGGAGAAAACAGCTTCATTAAATCTTGGCCTTGGCAGAGACCTTTCCAATCAGAAAGTGCAGTATGAGCAGAAACGGCCTACAAAGAATTCCCTTGGCTCCGACAGCTTTGCCTGTATCTTTCTGGTGGGATCTGAAGCATTCAGGTGTCCCCTATACAAAGTGCCATTTCTTTCCTTGGGAGGAAATCTGAGGGACATCCAGCCCACCCTGCTATCCCCAAGAGAATCCCCACCAGAGATACTAATCTCTCATGGCAATCCATCCATGACTCCCAAGGCTTGGCAAAATTTCCTTCAAGTTCTCTCCAAGGCAGTCATTTCATCATGACAACCTGCCTACCTTTTCCCAGGTATTCCTGCCCCTTCCAGGGTATGAACCTGTGGACTGGGGGTGCCAGGGCCTCTCCTGGACTCTGCTGCTGCTGGATGTCTCCCACAGGCAGCAGGAGCTCTGGCTAGACAGTGTCCCTGTGTCCCTGAAGTGCTGCCTGGGGCAATGACTGCAGGCACAGTGCCCCAGACATAGCCCTGGCCTCAGCCAAAGCTTCTGGAAATTTCATCTGCCTTGGAGCTTCCTGACATTTAGGCTCAGAGCACACAGTACAGCCAAGCACTAAGCCCAAGCACAACCTGTTTGGATGCTGTTTCCACAAGAAGAGCACTCGGGAAGATCAGGGTTTCCCTGGGCTGAGACAGTCCCATGTCTTCAGCCCTTTGCATTTCCTTACCTCAGCTGTGGTCAGCAGATTCTCTGGATCAAGCAGAGTTGCAACAGCTCCATGACCTGATCAGCTCTTCCAAATGCAACAGCATGATGCCATAACATCTGCTGCATGAGCGCACAGATGAGGTTAGTACCCTGCAAAAAACCCAGACAAAGAAAACCCCAAATAATTAGAGTGCACTGGGTTTCCTGGTTTCCACCAGTTTGGTTTGCTTATTTTAATAAAAATGAAAATTAAATAGAAAAATTGACATTTTGTTTGGCTGGTTTGTTTCCAATTTGCCTTTGGACTGGACTATCCAAGCACCTCCAAACCACTTTTACTTACGTGGTCTTTTGCTGGGCCTCTTGCATGACAAATTCTTGGACCAGGAGTGGGCAAAAGTCAACAAGATAAGACAAGATATCTGCGGCAGCAGATGCCACTTGCAGATCATCCATTCCCTAAGAAAAAAATTGATTAATTTGGTAGTGTAAATCAGGTTTGCTGTTTCTCATCAGGTAAAGCTGCAAAGAAAAGGGAGTGAAAGGTTTTGGGTAGGTTGCATTCCCAAGTTTCTCCGAGAAACAAAGTAATATAGTTCCAGAGAAGCAACTATAAACCAGCAACCTCTTCTGCCCACTCTGTGCCTCCTTTAGAAGGAACTCAAGGCTTTCTGTGAATCAGTGAGTCCTCATTTAAGCAGGAACCATTCCCATCGTGCCACTTCCTGGCTGGAATAGCTGAGACACTGATCTTCTGTACCTGTTAACTACAACTGATCCTTTTGTACCAACGGACCAGTTGTACAAATCAGTCTGTCTTTCTTCTCCTCACTTCTTCTCATTCAAATGGATTGTAAGCCAGACTAAACAACTCCAGTCCCTGCCTTGTTGTGGGGGTAAGTTAAAGGTGGTTAAGCTTAAATTTGCCAAGGAAAGTTTGTGATGGGCCTTCCTTTGCCTGGATGTTGTTTAAAAACTTGGCAAGTGCCTCATTCTGCCTTCATGTCCTCAAGCTTGCGAGTCAGAGGTTGTTCTTGAACCTGCTGGGAATGTTAGTGTTTCTCCCACACAGGGTTGTGAGGGCTCAAACAACCTTCCCCTAAAGCTGCCGAGTTGAGCAGGGCAGAACAGATGTTTTGCTGGCAGTGCTGTGCCTTGCTCAGTTCCCAGGTTGTTCCTGAAGCCGAGAAAGCCCCTGGGATCTGGTGAGGAAAATCCACTGAGCCTGGATTGCAATGGTCAGGTGGCAAGAGCTGCCCCAGCCAAAGGAGGGACAAAATTGTGGTTTCCTACTGCTGCTCAGGAGAGAGAAATCTGCTGCTTCCAGGAGGACAGGATCTACTGGGAAGGAATGAGCCAACAGCTCCAGAGGAGCTAAAAAGACTTCTCTGGCCCTGGTCCAAGCACAAGCACAGCAGCCCTGGGAAAACAACACCAATGCAGCTGCCCCGTGGCAAAGAGTCTCTTTCCATCTTAACTCTGCCTTGTCCTAAGGACTGCACTGAGCACAGAACTTGCCCACGGTGCAGAGTCACAAGAATCAGGGCAAGCCAGGCAGGTGCTTGCAAGAGCTGAGAGAGCTGTGGCATTGGGGCTGGTGCAATCCACTTCCACTCTCAGCAGAGCCAAGGAGTGCGAGCAGAGGGACACACAAGTGCTCAGCAGGTCCAACAGGTGCGCCAGTGGCTCTGGCCTTTCCTGCTTTGAGGAAGAGCAGCTGGAAGTTTTCACTTACCAGTAGAATTTCAAGAGCAGGAAGAAGTCCCAGCTTGGCCAAGCTTTGTAAAAATGCCTCTCCCTTCTGGTGAAACATGAGGGAAAAGGCACAGAAGTCCTTCAGAAAGTTCACCTGTTGCATCGGAAAAAGAATTTCTGGTGTCTTGGAGTAAGACAGCTCTCAAAAGGAGGAAAGGGTTACAATTTCTAGCAGAGTTGGAATGCTGGTCGGACCTTCCTAGAGAGTAGTCTTCTTCTCACGGTGTCTCCTCCAAGCTTTGCCAACACCAACAAAGCAAAGCCATGGAAAGGAAGCGCACAGAGAAAGAAGAAATCTGTCACTTGGCCTTGACCTCAGAAAGACAGTGATACAGAAATAAAGTTCTCTGGGATGCTGAAACATTCTGGGAAGAAAGCAGAGCTTGAAGTCGAGCGTGTCAGCTCTGTGCTGGTCCTTTCTACACAAGAAAACCCTGATTTACAACAAAGACATCAGAGCTTACATTGCCAGAAATATTTCTTTAAGTGAGGACTGAAATGAAGATTGAGCCGTACTGGCAAGGATTCCTGGGTTCCAGAAAGGTTTCAAGGACTGCAGAAGGCCTCAGAGCAGTTTCCCTTTCTCTGCTTCCTCCCTCTCCTTTCAAGCCCATGAGCTCTGACTCACCAGTTCCCATCACTGGTGGGCACCTGTAGCTCCATCTGCTAACTGGGCCAGAACTTCTGACCAGAATTTCTGGTCTTACTGTGGAACACAAAAAAGGAACACAACTGACACAGGCCCTCTGGAAAGGCAGAACTTCCATCTTGAGAGGATACCCCACTACCTCAAGGCCAGCTCCATTCACTGTAGCCCAACAACGGCCAATGCCAGAGTACACAGATCCTGCAGGATCCTTCCTTCCCAGGAATGTTTCAGCAGTGTCTGTGTGCAGCAGAAACAGAGGCAGAAGAGGAAGCTGAGCTCAGGGGAGGCTCCCAAAAAGTGCAGCTCCCAAGAGCCAGCTGAGACACAGTTTGTCCCATGTGGCACCCGCCCTGTTCCCCCTGCCCTGAGAACATCCCACAGGGATCCCTTTCCCTCTTGTGCAGATGCAGCCCTGCAAAGCATCTTTTCAGGCCCCCCAGACAAGGTGGAGCAGATGAACAGGTTTCCAGCTGGCTGCAGCCATAGCCTGGTTGCCTTTCCTCACACTCAAACCAGCTCCCCCCTTGCAGATGCTCTGCTCTGCATTTATGCCCCAGCCTTGGCTTGGTACAGTCACAGCCTCTCCCCCCAAGAAACACTTCAGGACCTCTAGGACAAGAGCTCCCTTCTGGCCACGAATTTCAGTTCCCCCATTGGTTAAGCCTCCAGAGGGCCAAGAAAACCAGGCTGAACACAATCACCATCATCATCGTCTCTCAAGGCTTTAGACACTTTCTCTCCTCTCTGTCCCTACATTTCTCTTCACTCCTTCCCATGGGAAGCAGCGCTGGCAGTATTCTCCCACGCCTGCTCTTTGGCATCTCAGGTTCAGAATGAGTTCCACAGACATTGCACCTGGCCCTGAGAGGGAATCCCAAAAGCTGCTTGTTCCCCAGCTCCCCCCACAAACCAGTTCCAAAGCAGTCTGCTGCTTGGCCATCAAAGAGAAGAACTTGAGACTCTTGACAGCCCATTCATTCAGGAATCTCTAGATCCTTCCCCGCTTCCCTTTCTAAACTACAGAATCCAAGGGAGAAGGAAGAAGGGGGATCATTCCCATCCTGTGCTTGTGCAAGCATGTCTGAGGAACAGTGATCCCTTGGCAACTCCAGCTGCAGGTCCTGAGCCATTGAGAGCAGGTCAGAAGGCACTTATCTCCAAGACATGGAAGATCTCCTCTTTCTTGCAGCTGATGAAGGAGGTGAGGCTGGGCAGAGAAGCCTCTCCCAGCCCAGCTGCCTTGGGCAAGATAACATCCTTAATATGCTGTGCCCAGTACATCTGGTGGAATTTTTGCTGGAGCTCAGGGTCTCGCA